GTTCAGTGGGACGGGGACAATTCAACAGCAGAACAAACAAGAACAGCTTCAAGGAACTTTTGAGCAGCTGCAGGTGGTAACAAAGACCGACTGCTGACTGACTGTAAACCAGAACTGAAAGACAGATCCAGAAGTAAGTCCGGACCTCAGTCAGTCCGGGTTGGACAGAACACCTCTGATGTCATCACCCTAAGCACATCACCCTCAGGGCGGCATCCTGTGCCCCCTGTTGTTCACGGTGAGAAGAGTGGTAAGAACAGCAGAGAGGATCATCGGCGCTCCCCTTCTCTCCATTAAAGACATTTCATCTCAGCGTTGCGTCTCCCGAACCCGTAACATCATAAATGACCCCTCACAACCCCACCGTGGAGTGTTCTCCCTGCTGCCCTTTGGGAAGGGACTTTGCAGCATTCGATGCAGGTCCAGCAGATTCTGCAATAGCTTCTTCCCCACCACCATCAGAATGTCAAAAAAACTCTAAATCATGTCAGAGATTCTGCATCAATCTGAAAACATACACTCTGCTTATACAGATGACACTAAAAGTTGTCTTTAGAGTCATGGCTTGAAGACCAAGGGAAGATTTTCTGTGTCCAATTTGCCCCGAAGTTTACAGGAATCCAGTCATTACAAACTGGGCAGAGACAGAAACAACGGAGTGTCCACTTTGTAAGAGAAGGTCTTCAAAGGTATTCCCTCCAGTTAATTTTGCATTAAAGTTGGATGTGAAGAGGTAATAGCATTAGAATCTTGGTCGGTCTGCAGTGTGCACCAACAGAAGCTCACCTTCTTCTGTGTGGAGGGGCAGCAGCTGCTCTGCATCATCTGCAGGGATTCACAAACTCACAACGGCCACCAGCTCCAGTCCAGTGAGGAAGCTGGACAGGAGTCCAAAATCAGCCTGCAGGAGTCCCTGAAGTGTTTAAAGAATAGGCTGAAGCTGTTCCGAGAGTTCAAATGAAGCTGTGATCAAACTGCAGATCACATCAAAGTTTAGGCTAAACAAACGACAAGGAAGATCAAGGATGATTTCAAGAAGCTACACCAGTTTCTGCAGGAGGAGGAGGAGGCCAGGCTGCAAACCCTGAGGGATGAGGAGGAGGAGAAGAGTCTACTGATGCAAGAGAAGATCAGAGCACTAAGCAAAGGGATCTCAGATCTGTCAGGATAGGTCAGAACCACGGAGAAGGTGCTGAAAGCACAAAGTGTTCGGTTCCTGCTGAATTACAAGGAAACTGTGGAGAGAATCCAGCCTGTTCCAGAAGATCCAGAGATCCAGGTATTAGAGAGGCCAGACACCTGGGCAACCTGAGCTTCAGCCTGTGAACCAAGATAAAGGAGACGGTCTCCTACACTCCTGTGATCATAGACTCAAACATGGCCCATCAAGACCTAACTTTGCAGCGACCACAGACAGTTGACAGGAGACAGATCTAGGTCAGAACCGGACAGATCTGAAATCCAGGAGTCCGATTAGGAGTTCTGATCCACACAGGAACAGACAGAAACAGGGTTCCAGGAATCCACAGAGCGTTCAGGCTGGTTCAGAGTTCCAGAGAGTCCAGCAATGTGTTCACGCTGAATTGCAGACAGGCGGGCTGAGATGCAGAGAGGCAGGCTCAGCTGTTGAGGGACAGAGACAAGACGTGGTATCGGGATTTCTGCAGGAAACTTTAAACTGGTCTCCCTCTAGGAGCCAGGCTTATGGGAATAAAGCTGATCCTGCTCCGAGCCAAAACCCTGAGGGCTCATTTATCAATGCTGACTTTTTCCTCAGAATTCTGACTTTTTCCTCAGAATTCTGACTTTAATCTCAGAATTCTGACTGAATTCTGACAGCTAACAAACATGTTAGCATCAAGCCGTAGCCATGTCTGTTTTAGAGACTGACAGCTAACAAACATGTTAGCATCAAGCCGTAGCCATGTCTGTTTTAGAGACTAGCTCTCTTGTTTTAATCACCTTCTGCTCCTCCATTAAGGTCCTCCATTATGTATCCAAGG